GGCCAATACAAGAAAGAAAGAAAGAAAGAAGAAAGAAAGAAAGAAAGAAAGAAAGAAAGAAAGAAAGAAAGAAAGAAAGAAAGAAAGAAAGAAAGAAAGAAAGAAAGAAAGAAAGAAAGAAAGATAGATCTGCTATGGTTTGGTTCCAGATTTCCATGAGTAAACTTTTAGAAGAGCAAAATATTTTGCCTTCTGCTGTCTACCAGAATCCTCTGAAAATCATCACTGCATCATTGGGGAACCTTTCAAAATAAGTGTAAGAAGTTATGTGGAGGTTGGAGAAGAGAACCCCTTCCATGATTAGAATCTATTCTGTAAGTCTATTTGTTTAATGGAACAACTTCTTCCACTTCTATAAGTGCACAGTCCACTAAGTATATTTTAATGTTTTTAATTTCATTTAATAGTTTGTCTCCTCTAGCATCTTATTCAGTCTTCCATTCATAATCATATGCAAAACCAATAACACTGGATGTTTATTTAATTAACAGTAATAACCTATTAGATCTGTGCTGTAAGACTTCAGACAATTCAATGGGATTCAATGGGATTCAAAGTAGGCCAGCATTTCCCAAAGTATGTCCCAGTACTGGTTCTTTACATACACACAATCCAACAGAAGAGAATATGTATAGCTCAGGGTTAAACTGTGGCGTCCTTGGGGTTCTCTGAGCTTGGTTGTTTTCTTGCAAACATTTTGTTATCCGGCTAGGTAACATCTTCAGTGCTAGAGTGGAATGGGTATTGCTCTCTGTTTATATACAGTGGCATGCCCTGCCAGTGTTGGTGGGGTTGTGGGTTTTGTTTTAAAACAAAAGAGCAAAACATTTCCTCACCAGCAATCATCACCCAGATAAACAGAGATTAACACCAAGATTATCACCAGACATACAATCAAGCAGTAAACAATACCCTAATCAAAGAACTATCAGAGGAAAAAACAAGAAAACAAAACCCCCACCCACACCAACACCAACACCAACACTGGCAGGGCATGCCACTGTATATAAACAGAGATCAAACCCCATTCCACTCTAGCACTGAAGATGTTACCTAGCCGGGTAACAAAATGTTTGCAAGAAAACAACCAAGCTCAGAAAACCCCAAGGACTCCATACACACAATCATACACAATGGAAAAGATAGCCATAATTGCTTTCTTTCTGCTCTGACCAAGTGCTATAGTCACAAAATTACTGGTATTCTGGTTAGAGGGGAAAGAGAATAGCTTTACTCACAAGCTTTAACCAGAGTACAGTGATTGAATGAACTAAGACTTAAAATATAATTTATAGAGGGGCAAAAGCCCAATCTCCAATTTATACACTTGTAAATTAATAACAAAAAATAGACAGCAAAAAGCTGTACTGAAAAACATCCAGCCCCCAGCTTCATAAACTTTGGGAAACCCTGAAGTAGGCTAACTATACAAAAGTACAACCTATGAATATTCTATGGAATACATGAAACTACTCTAGGTAAAAGATTTATTAGAAGATAGGGCTCATGTGCTAGCTTATATGTGGTTATGAATATTTTACATGCAAGTAAGATGGACAGATTTGATTACACAAATTCTACATCAGAGTTCTTGGCACAAAGGGACATTATTCAAGTTGTCAAATCTATAGTAATATATCTTGTTGTCTTAAGGTTGTCAAATGCTCTTTATATGGAATATGGGAATTGGATTGATGATCAGTATCACTTGAGATTTCATACAAGTTTCAACATATAAAGTATGTTTCTCCTTCTATAAACATAGTTTGGTAAACATGCTCAGCTTTTTGCAGGATTTTTACCTCCTTAAGCTTATATCATCATGTTCTTGTTGGAGTGTTGTTGGATGAAGCACACACTTCCCAGAGTCAATTTCAACTCTCACATCAAGTTCAAAGTCGATATTCCTCTCAGTAGTTGTTCCAGTTATATTTCTGTTGGCTGGAGATGTTGGCCAACGCTCAGTAAACAGTTGGTGAACAGCAGCAAAACCTGTAGCTTTCTTACGAGAAGCAGTCCTGCAAAAATTTTAAAATGTAGGGTTTTCACAAACTTACCTTACTGCATGCAATTTGTTAAAATATATTTACTTTGGTATCTCTCACACTACAGAAAAGGTCAACATTCAAACTATCTGAAATAGCCTGTATTTTATTTTCACTGAAAGTAGCTTTGGAGGTTCTGTGATTTGGTCAGGTCTGTTACACTGAGGAAAGAGGAGTTAGATATCTGTCCCATTTTCTCACTAAAATGTGTTTAGCCTTTGAGAACAAAATATACAAAGATGCAATATTAATCTTTGGTGTTTCTTTTTCCCCTTCACGGATGTTGAGAGGGAACTAAAAGCAGTCAAATTAGCTGCTTTAAAAGAAACTAAAAGATATTGCGAAATCTAATCACAGTGTTCTCCCACTATTTACAGTTTAAACCTACACTGACCAAAACTTTTGTGGAGCCGCGAAGCAGCTCTAATTAAATGATACTATAGCAGCATATAAAGTTTTGAGAAATGTCCCAGACTGTCATCTCATTCAAAGTAACCAGCAAATTCCCAACAAATGCTATTTCTACAATTTAAAAGCAGAATGAGAAGTACAAATGAAAATGCTGAGTTCATACAACATACTGATCTTCATATTGTTGTTTAATAAGGTTTGGACCAAACTTCTATATGAAGTTTATGAACACAGGAAATTGCCATCTAATCAAAGCTGCCTGCCATCATGTTCAAACAGAAAGGAAACTATCTCAGGCTACTTTGGACTGGCAGAGTTTGAACTTGAGATCCTAAACATGCAAAGCTGCGTCAAATACAGAGCTACAGGATAGTCCTTTCCAAAGGTATTAATTATCTCCGCCATATGCTCTTTCATTAAATGTTTTTGTTAGCTCTGCTAGCTAAATTATTGGAGCAGGTTAAAGATCCTAACAGCCATTTTTTTAAATTATATTTCTCATAACATCAGCATAACATCAAGATTTCAGACTAAATATTATACAGAGAAAGTTGGAGTTCTTTTTATATTCATTCATCTGCACATTTATTAATGGTTATACTGAAATGAATATTCTCTTTTTACAAATATGCTCACTGTGTTTTCCGATAAAAGTATGGCCTCTCTCTCTCATGATCTTCCTCTTTTTCTGACTCCTCGCTTGTTGAAGACAAACTGTCATCTCGTCTTCCTTCTTCAGGCTGGAAGGGAATGCTTGGTGAGAAGACAGCTGGAGTTTTGGGTGAACTGAATACTGAGCATGATCCTTCACTAGTGGATGAGTAATGGGATGGACCATCAATAGTTACTGACAAAAGATCCAATTCTGTCTCCTCTGGAAACTGATTACAAAGAGACAAAAAAGACATTCAAGTTATAGCTACCAACTATCTCAAGGAGTGGGGAGGAAAAATCAGATTCTTAAAGGCAAAGCAGTAAATGTTTCATTTTGGGCAGGCCAAAGAACTGATTTAAGCCATGAAATATGTTTTAAAAATAGATGAGTGAGTAGTCTTGAAGAAAAAAGAAGTGAATGTATGTTATTTAGATACAGCAACAGCTTAGATTGCAATACATTCTACTATAATAACTGAAGTAAAGTTTTTAAAGCTTAGAAAAGCAAGAACCTTACAGACATCCTGTAAATGAGAGAAAGTAGCAGAAATTATTAGAAAATGGAAGCTCATGCAAAATGCTGGCACAGAATGCACCCTACTATCTTAACAGATACTCCTTTTAAAGTAGTACATATGATTAATTTTAAAAAACTAGTTTTTTTTAAGACAATAATGTTCTGAGGGGAATTCTGGAATGTTATTTTGATTTTGGATAAGCTAAGATAATAAATCTTCAGGTTTCAAGTCAAGCTGAGGTATCAGTAAGCTTGGGGAAACCATAAGGTTTGCAGAGGTACAAGTTTTAAAAAAATATTTTTAGAAAAATAGTCCAAAAGCAGTGGTGGAGTGAAATGCTCAGTAAGCATGGAATGGTAAGAAACTATGGGAAAAAATTAAAGCTGGAAAGGGGAATAGAATGGAGTTGAATATCTTGGCAAAAGGCATAGCTGCTGCTTGGCTTTTCCAATTGGTACACATTACCTGTGGCACTGAGTTGCTGATTGTGCTTGCCGTCGTATTATACCTAAAGATTTTTGGCTTTCTGACTTTAATGATCTTTATATACCAGAAAGATTAGCACACCTGGATAGTCACTGGAATATCTGTGAGGCATGAGAACTCTTAACAGTCTCCGGTAAGAATTTGGGATTCCACTTCTTAAAGATAAATATTCCAGTTTGTTAATAAACTGTTGTTAATCATTTCCTTTAAAAGTATATATCTATGCTGGTCTATGAACATACTAAAGAATTGATTTGATTTGATTTGATTTGATTTGAAAGGATATGTCTGTGGTTCCCAAATTGTGTGCCGCAGCACCCTGGGATGCCATGGGATATTTTAAATTTTTGAGGGAAATGCAGTGATACTGGGCATCTGGTGGACACCGTGGAAACTACTAGCTTGATGCGGTTCACATTTTTGGCCTGGAGTGCCATGAAAAAATTAGTGAGACGTTAAGAATGCAGTGAAACTCTGGTATAAGTGCATGAGATATGTTTGTGGTGAATCAGTAGGAAATATGAACTAGAGCCATAAAACTATAATTTAATGGCTATAAGGAACAACTTGCTAAAAGAAGCCTGATTTAGATTAAAAGTCAGTTCACAAAGTATATTCAAAAGCATAAAGGGAATTTCTGTTATTGCAATTGTAACTAGGTTGAATCAAGATTTTGGTGCAAAAATATAGAATACATGAAATCTTATGATTAGCTGAGTACTGACTCATATATTCCAAGTAAATATAAAATCTACTTTCAGAAATGGTTAACTGGTCATTGTAATGAACTGATTGGATTAATGTTGACACAATTTTAATTGAAACCAGAAAAAAATTATATCTTTACGCTTGTCCAGATAGGAGACTTTGAGAACTGTGCTGCTTGTCCATGAAAGCCTGGGGACAGACAGCCTCTTTGGTTCTAAGGATCATGTATGATTTTGGGTGACTAGTCAGAAGCCTCTTTTTTGTGTATACATTCATATACATACATGCTAAAGCACTATGGCAAGCCTGTCTTGTACTGCAAAGCCATCTCCTGGACTCGGCAATATTGGTGCAGAGATTGATGGAGAAAGGCTATTAAAGCTCCATTCTCTCTCTGCTTCATAATTTACCAAATGTTGCAGTTAGTACCAACCTTCAGAAAGCACTGGTTCTGCAATACTATCACCATGTGACTAGAGAGGTCTCTCACAACATAAACTCAATTATCAGATAATCTTCACAATGATTTGAAAGATTTTCTACCCCTTCTATTTGCCAGGAATTGATGGATCCAGATGCCATGATCTTAGTTTTTTTAATGTTAAGTTTCTCACAACATAAACTCAATTATCAGATAATCTTCACAATGATTTGAAAGATTTTCTACCCCTTCTATTTGCCAGGAATTGATGGATCCAGATGCCATGATCTTAGTTTTTTTAATGTTAAGTTTCAAGCCAGCTTTTGCACTCTCCTCTTTCATCCTCATCAAGAGGCTCTGTAGTTCTTCTTCACTTTCTGCTGAACTATACCCTTATGAAAACATTAAATTCCTTAGGCTAACAGGCACCTCCCAAGGAATATTAATCTTCAAAGATAACCATTATTTTCGTCACTCACATCTTCTGTGGTTTGCATTTTCACCCATTCACACATCTTCTATTCTTAACATATGTAGAAAGATCTATCTCTCCAAGTCATAGGGAATGATTTGGGGGAAGGAACTCCTTCTTTCTCTTGGGTAAATAAGGTATTTTTAGATTTAAAAAAATAATATGTGATTCAGGTTCAAAGCAAGTAATCTAACACATGTTCTGATTTCTCCTCTTTCTAACAATATAGGGAAAGAATATTTGATAAAAATATTGGGATAACACAGACTAAATTAGATGGACTTTATTCCAACTATAATAGGGAAGGCAATATAAGCCATGTATAACTTATTAAGCCATTGTATAACCATTGATTTCAACAAGATTTAAGTGCAACGATTTGTTCACTAAGGTACATTATGAAAAGAACTGTAAAAAATATCATTTATATTTCACCTTCTAATATACATTTCCAATGAAAGGCCACCTTGAATGTAGCTTTGAAAACACATATTAACAGAAAATGACATTTTTCAGCTGACTGCTACCAGCTGTATAAACTCTTTAACTATTTTATTGATTAGTTTCTTAAATATAGTAATGATTTTGCCTTTGTAAATCCAGAGTTATGTTTGTTGCAATAAACCTTAATTAAATCAGTGTAAATTTAATAATGAATAATTAACAGTGCCTTAATCTGGTGTCAGCCTATAACACCTAGATTCAACCTAATTTTTTAAAATGAATTTCATAATTAGAAGGAACTGATTTCAGTCGTGACCTTTTTATTGTATTTATATTCCTGGACAATTCAGTTAGACAGTATAAAATGAGAAATACCTATTGTTGAACTATCAGTGGTCATATCAACTAAAATAGCTTGCCAATAATATACCAAGTATTTTTTCACTATTTTTGCAAGATGTCCAATGAGCTTCTATTCTAGAGGACAGCTCTTTTTGATATAAAAATTTTATCATGCCAAAACGTGTTAAAAATAGCTTGTACTCCCCCTTGGTACAGTGATGAATGCTCTTACCCCAAAGTAGTAAATAATACTGGATTATATAATATTGCCAGTTGTGACCTACATGTATTATAATGTGGCCTGCTTAGCTGACAGATATGATCAATGAAGCAGATTTTCCATGCAGTTAATTAGTATACTTGTTGATTTTACAAATACCTGAAAATACCCTTCCCCTGGACAGCTGCATTGTTGCGCAATCCCCAAAACTGTTTCATTCAACTTAATTAAAAGTGAAAAAGAGACATTAATAAAACAATACATGTATAGTCCTGGGCTCTGCTGATTCAATTTTTTTTTTATTAATGACCTAGATTAAGAAGCTGAGTATTCATATCAATTCCTTAATCCAGGAATATCAAATTTGCAGATGAGCCCAATGTTAGGAGCGGCTAACATTTAAAAAGTGAATAGAAGATTCAGAAAGATCTAGACAGGCTTGAACAGTGGGCCACAACAAACAGGATGAATTTTAACAAGGCAAAATGTAAAGTCTAACATCTGGGGAGAAGAAAAGAAAGGCACAAGTACCAGGTGGGTGAGTCCTGGCTTGGCAGTAGTAAATGTGACAAGGATCCAAGGGTTCTGGTAAATCACACTGACATCTAAAAAGGACTGACAAACTCGAGTGAGATCTGAGCGAGGGCTACAACACAGTGAAGGGATGGAAAACCAAGTCCTATGAGGGTATACTTAGCCTGCAAGCAGAAGACTGACAGAAAATAGGATAGTAGTCTTCATATAGCTAAAGGGTTGTCATATAGAGGAGGAGTGGGTTAGCTCTCTGTTACCATGAAGGATGGACCAGAATTAATGGGCTGAAACTAGAGGGAAGGAGATATCCAATATCCTTCCAATATCTACTCTGAATGTCCTGATAGTAAGAATGGTCAACCAGTGGAATAGGCTGCTCCTTACTTAAATAGCATGTTGGCCTTCACTAGAAATCTTCAAATAGATGATGGATAATCATCTGTCAAAAATGTTTCAGCAGACTGTGCACCAAGCAGGGTTTAGAGTAGATAACCTCAGAGGCACCTTCCAATTCTATGATTCTGAGATATATGTGTGAGTGTGTGTGTGTGTAAATATATGACACTGGCACAAATAAAAGGAAATCACATACAGGACTGAATGAATCATGGATAAGATGCAAACATATGTAACAATATAAATGCATATACTAATACATATTTAACATATGTATATTTGAACATATCAGTTCTTAGACTGAAGGTAGTTTAAGATATCCAATATTAAAATTTTATTTTTTTAAAGCTCTCTGACACACTTAATTGATATTCTCTTTTAAATTCCCATGCATCTACTTCTTATTTCATAATGTATATTTACCCAAAGGATTAAATTAACTACTTAGGGACTGCCTTACCGTATCCTGTATGCTGAAAGTTACTCTGGGCCCAGGAGATGCCCCATCAACACGAATTTCTGGAAGTTCTTCACTTTCCCCAAGCCTTGTACTAATAAAATTACAGAAACAGGGAATTAAGATATTTATAAATACTCGCATTTTGTTACTATTACTAATTTCTTCCAAATTTAAGAATCACCATTTAAAATATTATTTTGGAACACTTTCCCAATTTAAAAATGATAGCTTGAAATAAGAAGCACTAAACAAATGGTGACAAATTTGAGTACGTTTTAATTACATGCAAACTGCATTAAATCTTAAGCCACTGAATATGAAAAATTACAAATGTATGAAAATCAAAGAACTACAAGATCTATTGCAATATGTTATTTGAGCAGTTACAAACTATACAACTTAGGTGAGCAAAGCAGTCACATTTTATGCTTGATAGAACCAAACCATCAAATATTGTTAGGATTGCAAAGTACAACTTTAGGAAGAAGCTGTGCAGCTGAAGAAATGGTATTATGCAGATAGGAATTAGTTTAGTTTTCAGTAATTTCCACTGAAGGAAGAAGGCAAAATATGATTCTCCCCCCAAAAGATTCCACATTCATCTGTGGTGCATATAGTTGTTGTTACACTAAAGGAAAAATTAAATACATGTAAACCTGAAGACACTTTAAGGAACTATTCAAATATTTAAAAAAATTAAAAAGAAAACATGTAGTTTAAAGTATGTGGCTCTTTACAAATATTAACATTTATTTCAAATCATTGTCTCTCTAGAGTTGGCAAGGTGATACTCAAGGGAAGTGCCTCTCATGGTGCCCAACAGAATCCATATCCATTTGACTTTTTAACCATTTTTTTACATAAAAATATTAAACATGAATAATTAAACAGGACATGCTGGAAAGCACAGATTCATTATTATTTCTAGGAAGGCCTTTGGGCTCACAAGGGCCCAATGGGATAGCAGAAAACATCTAGGGCATGTAGCTTACTTTCTAGCAAGACATGACTTACGATTGGCCATAGTCTTTATGACAGCCATTTTCTAAGTCTGCCCATTGCATACACTCAAAAATCAAAACATATTCTTGGTCTAAAAAAGCCTTCTATTCCCACCTTACCTTGTTCTGTCCATTCTCTTCAGAGGTGGTCTTCCTGAAGCTGAAATACTTTTGGATCGATTATAACTAGGTTTGTAACCTAGGCCCCATTTATCTTTCAGAGATGCTGCCTGAAATACACAGAGTATATTATTCCCACATTTCATTCTGACAGTATTCTTGCATAGTTCAGAAATTTGGCAAATGAAATATTAAGGATCATACATGTAGACTGTAAATAGTTGAAATCCAGAAAAGTTAAGCACACTTAAGTACCACTAGGGTCTTTATGAAATTAACATAAAGCACATGAGTAGATACAAAAAATAGTATATACTGTAAACTACTCAGAGACTATATTGTGCAGGCAGAGAGCAACAGATACAATTAATCTCTTTCTTCTCCCCTTTGAAATATTTTGCTAGAATGTCATGAAGAGCTGATGGAGAAAGAGAGAAATTACTTCAGGTTGGATGGATACTGAAGTGGATTTAAATGTAATTCCATTAAAAAAAAATCCCTGTACTGAATGATGGCCTACCAACATCTCAAAAAATGTAATGTGTCTTTAAATCTTGTTTTTTTAGCATGTGTGACTATGTTCTACCTAGTTCTAATAACATGAAAAAGAACTGATATGCCTGAAAAGGAGCTAAAAAATTGCTCACCCTCATACTTGACCTGCGTAGCTTTTTACGAACATCTCGGCGAATGTCATTGACAGCTACTGACTCCAACTGTTGGTATCGCTGAATTTCCTGGTTTATAGTTCCTTCACTTGCACCCAGTTTCCTGAAGAGAAGATTAATAAATAAAAGCTCACAATCAATCATTATAGGTAGCAATATAGTATTTGCTCAGAATGATTACTTATTTGGAGAGACCCAGTTTAAGGGTCCTTGTAAGGTAACCATAAGGATAAAGAGAAATAGTTATGCAAACCACTTGTGGGTGACTTTATAGCCATGAAATATATTGGCAAAGTAGTTTTGCCAAAGTTGATTAAGGGACTTATAATTTTTTAACAGGGGGACGCGGTGGCGCAGCGGCTTAATGACGCTGAAAGTTG